TCCCAGCTGTGTGTGTTGTGGTGGTGGATGTTTCCAGCTGTGTGTTGTGGTGGTGGTGGATGTTCCCAGCTGTGTAATGTGGTGGTGGATGTTACCAGCTGTGTGATGTGGAGGTGGATGTTCCCAGCTGTGTGTTGTGGTGGTGGATGTTCCCAGCTGTGTGTGTTGTGGTGGTGGATGTTCCCAGCTGTGTGTGTTGTGGTGGATGTTCCCAGCTGTGTGATGTGGTGGTGGTGGATGTTCCCAGCTGTGTGATGTGGTGGTGGTGGATGTTCCAAGCTGTGTGATGTGGTGGTGGATGTTCCCAGCTGTGTGATGTGGTGGTGGTGGATGTTCCCAGCTGTGTGTGGTGGTGGTGGTGGATGTTCCCAGCTGTGTGTTGTGGTGGTGGATGTTCCCAGCTGTGTGTGTTGTGGTGGTGGATGTTCCCAGCTGTGTGTGGTGGTGGTGGTGGATGTTCCCAGCTGTGTGTGTTGTGGTGGTGGATGTTCCCAGCTGTGTGTGTTGTGGTGGTGGATGTTCCCAGCTGTGTGTGGTGGTGGTGGTGGATGTTCCCAGCTGTGTGTGTTGTGGTGGTGGATGTTCCCAGCTGTGTGTGGTGGTGGTGGTGGATGTTCCCAGCTGTGTGTGGTGGTGGTGGTGGATGTTCCCAGCTGTGTGTGGTGGTGGTGGTGGATGTTCCCAGCTGTGTGTGTTGTGGTGGTGGATGTTCCCAGCTGTGTGTGGTGGTGGTGGTGGATGTTCTCAGCTGTGTGATGTGGTGGTGGTGGATGTTCCCAGCTGTGTGTGGTGGTGGTGGATGTTCCCAGCTGTGTGTGGTGGTGGTGGATGTTCCCAGCTGTGTGTGTTGTGGTGGTGGTGGATGTTCCCAGCTGTGTGTGTTGTGGTGGTGGTGGATGTTCCCAGCTGTGTGTGTTGTGGTGGTGGATGTTCCCAGCTGTGTGTGGTGGTGGATGTTCCCAGCTGTGTGTTGTGGTGGTGGTGGATGTTCCCAGCTGTGTGTGGTGGTGGTGGTGGATGTTCCCAGCTGTGTGTGGTGGTGGTGGATGTTCCCAGCTGTGTGTGTTGTGGTGGTGGTGGATGTTCCCAGCTGTGTGTGTTGTGGTGGTGGATGTTCCCAGCTGTGTGTGTTGTGGTGGTGGATGTTCCCAGCTGTGTGTGTTGTGGTGGTGGATGTTCCCAGCTGTGTGTGGTGGTGGTGGTGGATGTTCCCAGCTGTGTGTGTTGTGGTGGTGGATGTTCCCAGCTGTGTGTGTTGTGGTGGTGGATGTTCCCAGCTGTGTGTGTGTGGATGTTCCCAGTGGTGGATGTTCCCAGCTGTGTGTGTGTGGTGGTGGATGTTCCCAGCTGTGTGTGTTGTGGTGGTGGATGTTCCCAGCTGTGTGTGGTGTGGTGGTGGATGTTCCCAGCTGTGTGTGGTGGTGGTGGATGTTCCCAGCTGTGTGTGGTGGTGTGTGGTGGATGTTCCCAGCTGTGTGTGGTGGTGGTGGTGGATGTTCCCAGCTGTGTGTGTGGTGGTGGTGGTGGTGGATGTTCCCAGCTGTGTGTGGTGGTGGTGGTGGATGTTCCCAGCTGTGTGTGTGGTGGTGGTGGATGTTCCCAGCTGTGTGGTGGTGGTGGTGGATGTTCCCAGCTGTGTGTGTTGTGGTGGTGGATGTTCCCAGCTGTGTGTGGTGGTGGTGGTGGATGTTCCCAGCTGTGTGATGTGGTGGTGGTGGATGTTCCCAGCTGTGTGTGGTGGTGGTGGATGTTCCCAGCTGTGTGTGTGGTGGTGGTGGATGTTCCCAGCTGTGTGTGTTGGTGTGGTGGTGGATGTTCCCAGCTGTGTGTGTGTTGTGGTGGTGGATGTGCCCAGCTGTGTGTGTTGTGGTGGTGGATGTTCCCAGCTGTGTGTGTTGTGGTGGTGGATGTTCCCAGCTGTGTGTGTGGTGGTGGTGGATGTTCCCAGCTGTGTGTGTTTGTGGTGGTGGATGTTCCCAGCTGTGTGTGGTGGTGGTGGATGTGCCCAGCTGTGTGTGTGGTGGTGGTGGTGGATGTGCCCAGCTGTGTGTGTTGTGGTGGTGGATGTTCCCAGCTGTGTGTGTTGTGGTGGTGGATGTTCCCAGCTGTGTGTGTTGTGGTGGTGGATGTTCCCAGCTGTGTGTTGTGGTGGTGGTGGATGTTCCCAGCTGTGTGTGTTGTGGTGGTGGATGTTCCCAGCTGTGTGTGTGGTGGTGGATGTGCCCAGCTGTGTGTGGTGGTGGTGGTGGATGTTCCCAGCTGTGTGTGGTGGTGGTGGATGTTCCCATCTGTGTGTTGTGGTGGTGGATGTGCCCAGCTGTGTGTGTTGTGGTGGTGGATGTTCCCAGCTGTGTGTGATGTGGTGGTGGATGTTCCCAGCTGTGTGTGATGTGGTGGTGGTGGATGTTCCCAGCTGTGTGTGGTGGTGGTGGTGGATGTTCCCAGCTGTGTGTGTTGTGGTGGTGGATGTTCCCAGCTGTGTGTGGTGGTGGATGTTCCCAGCTGTGTGTGGTGGTGGTGGATGTTCCCAGCTGTGTGTGGTGGTGGTGGTGGATGTTCCCAGCTGTGTGTGTGGTGGTGGATGTTCCCAGCTGGATGTTCCCAGCTGTGTGTGTGTGGTGGTGGGATGTTCCCAGCTGTGTGTTGTGGTGGTGGATGTTCCCAGCTGTGTGTTGTGGTGGTGGTGGATGTTCCCAGCTGTGTGTGTTGTGGTGGTGGATGTTCCCAGCTGTGTGTGGTGGTGGTGGTGGATGTTCCCAGCTGTGTGTGGTGGTGGTGGATGTTCCCAGCTGTGTGTGGTGGGTGGTGGATGTGCCCAGCTGTGTGATGTGGTGGTGGTGGATGTTCCCAGCTGTGTGTGTGGTGGTGGTGGATGTGCCCAGCTGTGTGTGGTGGTGGTGGTGGATGTTCCCAGCTGTGTGTGGTGGTGGTGGTGGATGTTCCCAGCTGTGTGTGGTGGTGGTGGTGGATGTTCCCAGCTGTGTGATGTGTGGTGGTGGATGTTCCCAGCTGTGTGGTGGTGGTGGTGGATGTGCCCAGCTGTGTGTTGGTGGTGGTGGTGGATGTTCCCAGCTGTGTGGTGGTGGTGGTGGATGTTCCCAGCTGTGTGATGTGGTGGTGGTGGATGTTCCCAGCTGTGTGATGTGGTGGTGGTGGATGTTCCCAGCTGTGTGGTGGTGGTGGTGGATGTGCCCAGCTGTGTGTGGTGGTGGTGGTGGATGTTCCCAGCTGTGTGGTGGTGGTGGTGGATGTGCCCAGCTGTGTGTGGTGGTGGTGGTGGATGTTCCCAGCTGTGTGTGGTGGTGGTGGGATGTGCCCAGCTGTGTGTGGTGGTGGTGGATGTGCCCAGCTGTGTGATGTGGTGGTGGATGTTCCCAGCTGTGTATTACAGTGTATAAGTGGAGGTGAGATCTCTTCCTGCGCCTCCTATCCACCCTGCTCGTCCCGTAGTGATATAATATAACTTACGTAACGTTCAAATTCTTTGTCGAATCTGGCCTTAAAGTTGTGGATGGAGGTGGCTTCTACAACGTCATTTAGTGTGTGACACTTGACGAGTTCTCGTTGAACAGTATTCGAGCATTTCCTTACATTTCTTCGACTCGTTTGGCTTTTCCACTTGTTACTGGAATCGAACTGGTTTCGATTCCAATTCGAATCCTCCTTCTCCTTCCTGACTGTGACTCTGTGCTCTCTGTCCTTCAGATTCTCCCTCACTCACTTCAGTCTTTTTCCAGTTATCGCAGCCTGGTTCTCCGTCTTGTCCGGCAGCCTTTTATGGGGAGGAGTGTCGAAGGCTTTCCGACAATTTGGGAAAATATAGTGTGCACAGCTTTCCCCTTTTTCTGTCTTATTTTAGTAACCCTGTCATAGAACTCAATTAAGTTTGTCAGACACGACTTTCAATTTCTAAATCTATTCTGCCCTTTCGTTACCAATCCGGTCGTGTCCAGGTGCTCCACCTTTCTCAACCTGATGACACGACTTTTTCCAGCACTATACACGGAATATTTGTCAATAAAACTGGTCTGTAATTTAAACCCTCCTGTTGGTCCCCCTTTATTTTAAACATTGGGACTGTGTTTGTCGTTTCCAAAATTCTGGGAGATTTCCTGTCTATAAAGTTTTATTATAAATTGGTATAGCAGGTGATAGATTATTTCTGCAGCCTCCCTGACCTGGTGAGACTATGTCTGGAGCTCGGACAGATTTTGATATATTTGCTTCGTCTTGGTGTATTTTACCCTCTTAAATTGACAATGTTGTCAATTTCCCCCAGATTTCCAATCATGGTTTCATCGTTGGTTCCATTGTAAAGATCTGAAGTCTCTTGCTGAGTTCTTCACATGTCCTCTTTAATAGAAATTTCGTATAGAGGTTGTATTTCATTGTAGTCTTTCTCCTCTTTTGCCATGTGTGTTCCTCTCGCTCTCTTAGATTGTATATAACCTCAAAACTTTACCTTCCCAACTCCTGATCTCCACAGTGGACGCCTTGAGGAGTTGTCACAGCCTCTGACAATGTTAACTTAATCGTCCTCTTTCTCTTTCAACGTGTTGCCACTGGAGAAGGAGCGAGGGAGGCAAGATGCATGGATGCTGGAGACAGATGCCCGGCTTTAATATATGCTCCTATTAATCCCACCGGTAAATCTTGACTCATAACCTCAAATAAATGAGGCTTACAACACCCTGAGACAAACGACCGCTTAGGCCTGATTTTGTTGGTGTAACTCCTTGGTAGTGTTGGGATGAGGGGAGGGGTGTTGCCTGCTGTGTTGCTTCATGTGTTGCCTGCTGTGTTGTCTGCTGTGTTGCCTGCTGTGTTCCTTCATGTGGTGCCTGCTGTGTTGTCTGCTGTGTTGCCTGCTGTGTTCCTTCATGTGGTGCCTGCTGTGTTCCTTCATGTGGTGCCTACTGTGTTGCATCATATGTTGCCTGCTATGTTGCCTGCTGTGTTCCTTCATGTGTTGCCTACTGTGTTGCATCATATGTTGCCTGCTATGTTGCCTGCTGTGTTGCCTGCTGTGTTGCCTGCTGTGTTCCTTCATGTGGTGCCTGCTGTGTTGCTTCATGTGTTGCCTCCTGTGTTCCTTCATGTGTTGCCTGCTGTGTTGCATCATGTGTTGCCTGCTGTGTTGCATCATGTGTTGCCTGCTGTGTTGCCTGCTGTGTTGCCTGCTGTGTTGCATCATGTGTTGCCTGCTGTGTTGCTTCATGTGTTGCCTGCTGTGTTGCATCATGTGTTGCCTGCTGTGTTGCCTGCTGTGTTGCTTCATGTGTTGCCTGCTGTGTTGCCTGCTGTGTTGCTTCATGTGTTGCCTGCTGTGTTGCTTCATGTGTTGCCTGCTGTGTTGCATCATGTGTTGCCTGCTGTGTTGCTTCATGTGTTGCCTGCTGTGTTGCATCATGTGTTGCCTGCTGTGTTGCATCATGTGTTGCCTGCTGTGTTACTTCATGTGTTGCCTGCTGTGTTGCCTGCTGTGTTGCTTCATGTGTTGCCTGCTGTGTTGCCTGCTGTGTTGCATCATGTGTTGCCTGCTGTGTTGCTTCATGTGTTGCCTGCTGTGTTACTTCATGTGTTGCCTGCTGTGTTGCATCATGTGTTGCCTGCTGTGTTGCATCATGTGTTGCCTGCTGTGTTACTTCATGTGTTGCTTCATGTGTTGCCTGCTGTGTTGCTTCATGTGTTGCCTGCTGTGTTGCTTCATGTGTTGCCTGCTGTGTTGCTTCATGTGTTGCCTGCTGTGTTGCTTCATGTGTTGCCTGCTGTGTTGCATCATGTGTTGCCTGCTGTGTTGCTTCATGTGTTGCCTGCTGTGTTGCATCATGTGTTGCCTGCTGTGTTGCATCATGTGTTGCCTGCTGTGTTGCATCATGTGTTGCCTGCTGTGTTGCATCATGTGTTGCCTGCTGTGTTGCCTGCTGTGTTGCATCATGTGTTGCCTGCTGTGTTACTTCATGTGTTGCCTGCTGTGTTGCATCATGTGTTGCCTGCTGTGTTACTTTATGTGTTGCCTGCTGTGTTGCATCATGTGTTGCCTGCTGTGTTGCATCATGTGTTGCCTGCTGTGTTGCATCATGTGTTGCCTGCTGTGTTACTTCATGTGTTGCCTGCTGTGTTGCATCATGTGTTGCCTGCTGTGTTGCATCATGTGTTGCCTGCTGTGTTACTTCATGTGTTGCCTGCTGTGTTGCTTCATGTGTTGCCTGCTGTGTTGCCTGCTGTGTTGCTTCATGTGTTGCCTGCTGTGTTGCTTCATGTGTTGCCTGCTGTGTTGCCTGCTGTGTTGCTTCATGTGTTGCCTGCTGTGTTGCTTCATGTGTTGCCTGCTGTGTTGCATCATGTGTTGCCTGCTGTGTTGCTTCATGTGTTGCCTGCTGTGTTGCTTCATGTGTTGCCTGCTGTGTTGCTTCATGTGTCCTGCTGTGTTGCCTGCTGTGTTGCCTGCTGTGTTGACTGCTGTATTGCTTCATGTGTTGCCTGCTGTGTTGCTTCATGTGTTGCCTCATGTGTTGCTTCATGTGTTGCCGACTGTGTTGCCTGCTGTGTTGCTTCATGTGTTGCCTCATGTGTTGCCTCATGTGTTGCCTGCTGTGTTGTTTCATCTGTTGCCTCATGTGTTGCTTCATGTGTTGCCTCATGTGTTGCCTCATGTGTTGCTTCATGTGTTGCCTCATGTGTTGCCTCATGTGTTGCTTCATGTGTTGCCGACTGTGTTGCCTGCTGTGTTGCATCATGTGTTGCTTGCTGTGTTGCATCATGTGTTGCCTGCTGTGTTGCCTCCTGTGTTGCCTGCTGTGTTGCCTCATGTGTTGCCTCATGTGTTGCCTGTTGTGTTGCATCATGTGTTGCCTGCTGTGTTGCATCATGTGTTGCCTCATGTGTTGCCTCATGTGTTGCCTGTTGTGTTGCATCATGTTTTGCCTGCTGTGTTGCCTCATGTGTTGCCTCATGTGTTGCCTGTTGTGTTGCCTCATGTGTTGCCTGTTGAGTTTGCATCATGTGTTGCCTGTTGTGTTGCCTGTTGTGTTGCCTCATGTGTTGCCTGTTGTGTTGCCTCATGTGTTGCCTGCTGTGTTGCATCATGTGTTGCCTGCTGTGTTGCCTCATGTGTTGCATCATGTTTTGTCTGCTGTGTTGCCTCATGTGTTGCCTGTTGTGTTGCATCATGTGTTGCCTGCTGTGTTGCATCATGTGTTGCCTCATGTGTTGCCTCATGTGTTGCCTGTTGTGTTTGCATCATGTGTTGCCTGTTGTGTTGCATCATGTGTTGCCTGCTGTGTTGCCTCATGTGTTTGCCTGCTGTTTTGCCTGCTGTGTTGCATCATGTGTTGCCTCATGTGTTGCCTGTTGTGTTGCATCATGTGTTGCCTGTTGTGTTGCCTCATGTGTTGCCTGTTGTGTTGCCTCATGTGTTGCCTGCTGTGTTGCCTCATGTGTTGCCTGCTGTGTTGCCTCATGTGTTGCCTGTTGTGTTGCATCATGTGTTGCCTGCTGTGTTGCCTCATGTGTTGCCTGTTGTGTTGCCTGTTGTGTTGCCTCATGTGTTGCCTCATGTGTTGCCTCATGTGTTGCATCATGTGTTGCCTGCTGTGTTGCATCATGTGTTGCCTGTTGTGTTGCCTCATGTGTTGCCTCATGTGTTGCCTGTTGTGTTGGATCATGTGTTGCCGCAAGCATAACTATGTGAGTACAAGTGGTGACCGAACCACACACCAGAAGATGGGTAGACGACGACGTTTCGGTCGTCCCTGGACCATTATCACGCAACTCATTCTCCTGTTTAAATTGTCGTTCTGTGCACCAGAGTACGAAGATTGCTGTTCTATGAATTTAGATAGTAGAACTTTGTACTATTCATTGATAGAATTGGACAAATTAAACTAAAAAACATACATAAATATTCCCAGGCCTAATATATCACCTAGGAATATTATATATATATATATATATATATATATATATATATATATATATATATATATATATTATATATATATATATTATATATATATATATCTATATATATATATATAATATATATATATATATATATATATATTATATATATATATATATATATATATATATATATATATATAATATATATATATATATATATAGATATATCACCTAATATGAGGCCTAGGAAGGTTGGGTTAATGTAGTTTGTCTTTGCAACATAAGTAGAAAATAGTTTTCCGGTTGTCCAACTCAATAGTACCGATTTTTACTTTCTAATTTGGTTGTCCCTCGGTATATATATACTTTGGTATATATACTTATATACTTGATAGTATATATACTATCAAGCCATATGTAACTTGAAGCGACTTGATAATCGTTCAAAACGGACCGAAAAGTCGTCGTCTCTTCATCTTCTGATCTGTGGTGTGGTCATCATGTCTTCAGCCTCGTTATTGTGACTCATCGTCTGCTCTAAGCCGTTTGTAACTAGTGACAAGTGATGCTGCCTGAGTGACAGTGTAGTAATCCAAGTAAGGAAGGCGCCTGTGTGTGTGTGTGGGTGTATTGGCTTGGTGTAGCCCACTGGCACAACCTCCAAGTTTTAATACGTTTCAAAAGTATTGGAAGTTTTCTCTGTCTGACCTTCGGATGCCCTCACCTCACCTCACCTCACCTCACCTCACCTCACCTCACCTCACCTCACCTACCCTCACCTCACCTCACCTCAACTCACCTCACCTCACCTCACCTCACCTCCCCTCACCTCACCTCACCTCACCTCACCTCACATAAACATCACCTCACATCACCTCACCTCACCTCACCTCACCTCACCTCACATCGCCTCACCTCACCTCGCCTCCCGTCACCTCACCTCACCTCTCCTCACCTCACCTCACCTCACCTCCCTTCACCTCACCTCACCTCACCTCACCTCAGTAGGCTGGTTTCTGTTTTTACCTCTCCAACTAATTTCTCCAATTTTACGATCTGTCACAAGACACTTAGCCCAACCACTTGGGCCGGACGGTAGAGAGACGGTCTCGCTTCCAGGCATGTCAGCGTTCAATCCCCGACCGTCCCCAAGCGTTTGGGCACCATTCCTTTTCCCCGTCCCATCCCAAATCCTTATCCTGACCTCTTCCCAGCGGTATATAGTCGTAATGGCTTGGTGGCTTCAGATAGTTCCTTCCTTCACAATACACTTAATTAGTTTAATATGTATCAATTTTCCTGTTTGTAATCAGTTATATGTTTTCATCTAAGTTTTAGATGGGAAATAAAAAAAAATCAAGTTTTGTTCTGTAGAACAGAACTTACTTGAGTTGAAACAAGTTCTGTTGAGCTTGTCCTTGTTTCAGAGAACCTCATGTTTGGGTAAACAGTAGGATTACAGAATCCGTTAGTGTACCCTTGGTACCCTGATCCACTTGCCGCCTTGGGCCAGGGGTTCGATTCCCGGCAAGAGTGTCCCTTTGAACGCGAGCCATCTATTCAGCTAACAGAAAATAGATAGGCCTA